TCATGTTTACAGTATTTTCAGAGCATTTTCAACGATTATGCGACTTTTTTGATTATGAGTTCTGATTAGTTGCTTTGACTTTACCCAACTAACTTCAATGCCTAAAATTGTAAAGAATTCAAGTTATTTTACACTGAGTTGATTAGACTTTGCGTAAGACTTTAAGTGCAGCTTGTCAACGTATGCCTCTGCTTAGACCGCGGTATTGGACGTGAAGGTCATTGTAGGCCAGCGTTGATTTATCATTTATATGCTTATCTATAAGTAGGCGTGAGTTGTCCCATTTTATTGTGATGAGTTGGACGGAATAAAATCTTTAAAACACCCAGTAGGTTTCTCTATTTCCACACTAACAGATTTTCCATTAATAAAAAGGTCATCCCAATTAGGGTTATTTTCGGGGTACTTATTGCGTTACTTCGAAATTTCCCCTGATCGTATTTCAGTTTGAATACTTTTGGATAGTGTGACTGAAGCTTTTTGCTTGGTAATACACATCAATCTCACTGAGAACTGGATTATTTCCACCAAAATTACTTGAATCTGTTAACATATTGGTGTAAAGTGCACTCCTAAATTAATTAAAATCAAATGTAACGTTCCGTACTTTTCTTAGAACGTTCCTGTTGACTCTGGTCTAAATATCTTCTCTGATGTGCATAAAATAAGCAATTTTTGACTTTAAACTCTAATTTAAATTTTTAAAGGTAATTGAGGATGGCTAAAGAATTGTCATCCTACTTTGTGTGTTCGCCAATGTATATATCGATATTTTTTAAAATTTCTAATGCGCCTTGAAGTATCCTGTAGCTAGATAGTCCCCTCTTAAGCGCAATGTAGCTCTGTTGAAACTAGTTTGTCTTATAAGTTTCAGGTTAGTAGTAAAAACACAAGGCGTCATTATTGTCCAAAAGAATTTCGTAACTTTATGCATTTCATACTGAATGCTTTCCTGGCAGCTGTACAGTCTAGTTGGGGAGTTAAGTTAATTGCGGGCTACTCTACCAGTTCACATTGCATTCCACATATAATGATATTAACTAAATCATGTTAATATGATGTATCCATTCCACAGAGAAACTGCTGTTGCTTCAATAATACGTGTTTCCTCAAAGTGAATTAAGAGTTAACATTACTTCAAAATGTCTGATTTTATTTTTCATCTGTCTGTTAAAAACTTTAAATATTGTTTGATTGCTCTTAATTATGTTACACCAGTATGTTCACATTATTTCTAACTGTACATCTCCCCTCTAATTCCTTCCAGGCTCTTATTTTATGATAGCAAAATATCTCCACCAGGGCATACTTTTGTTGATACTTCCTCAATAAGCAGTATACCCTTAGTCTGCATGAAAGTGTGAAGTTAACAAAAAATCACACATCAGTGTGAGACAAATGTTTAACAATTTCATATTCAATGAGACTACTTAATACTTTCGTTCGTGCGAAGCTATTTTCAAGATGGCGTTACAAGTTATGTGTTTTAATGTACTTGATTATTGGAGTACTCTTCGTTAATCTGTACTTGGTAAACTTTTCAAGCCGAGTTGTATACATCCATCCTGATGAATTGATTGATATGGAACACTGTCGCCTAATGGAAAAGCAAGGTATTTTTACAATATGGACTTCAAATATTTCTAGTTTGTTGCCCTAGTGCGGATTATCTGGATATGTCGAAGTTTGACTCTGTCGATTTTAAAAACTATCTGGAGATAATCAATACCACTAAACAGGTTTGTGAAGGAAGCTGGAAACCGAAATGTTCTTCGTCACAAAAGGTAGCTGTCATTATACCTTACAGAGACAGAGAGAAACACTTGAAACTATTACTACCAAGACTTCACGCCCTATTGCTGAGACAAAATATGCCATATTATGTCTTTGTAATCGAACAAGTAAGTATTGTGGTTTCTTATTCGTGTTAGTGAAAGAATATATATATATTCTCTAAATTCCAAATGTGATTTCTTCGTTAAAGTTGTTAAAACATGGGTTATTGGCTTATCAAAGCAGAACTGTTCACAGGAATACCTCATTTAAAGTTGTCACACTTCGATTAAGTACACATTAAAGCATAGAAAGAAGAATGAAATTCAAAATGGAATAAATTTCTACATTCGTGCAGAGTTTTCACCAAAAATTAGTTTACTAAAGCTTATATAACTTCCGAAATAAATGAGTTGGCTAGCGAATCCAGCCATTTTACTCCATATTCTTACGCTGGTGTGTTTTCAGAACTAGTCCTGCTGCTTCGTCGTATATTGAACAGGAAAGAATCGTGTGATTTATTATCTGATTGACCTTGAGGCATTAAGTGTTTATTAGTAAATAAAAAAAATATTCTACTGGATCCACTCTGTGAAGTTTATTCTCATTCCTTCTGATTATTAGACACTTGTATGCTTATCAGACTGTCTCTGTTGCTCAGAATAAATCATAATTTATACATCTGTCACTAAATTAATAACTCCCTTTTTAAAATGTATGCTTCAAAATGACCAGTTACTATGGTAAAGTATGTAATTTATTCTATAAAGTTATTAAAATTAAAACAACAACACCAACTATCTGTGTCACACTCGTCAAATCGTTAAAGAACGTTTACACTTGAGAATATCAAACAAGTAAGAATAGTGTTTATTTGGCAGCTTTGAACTATTTCCCTGTATTCCCTGTCAGCTAACGTTTATTTTAATTCTACAAGTAATTGTGAATTCTTATCGTAATGAATAACATTTATGTTTAGTAGTCAAATTATGTTGTTTTGTGGATAATTCACATATTTCGTCTTAAAAAATGCTTATACAGCCTTACAGTGCTGATAAATTTAGAACTTTTTTCTAGTGCATTTTTATCAGATCAAGTCTATGGGTCTTGCAAACACGCAAGCCGATCCTCTTTGCCTGAAATGTTATACCATAATATAATATTGCTGTTCCAGTAGGTGCGATCATGCAGAAAGATAACTTGTGAGTTCACTTCAGTCAGTTATTATCAATATAGGAAGCAGTGTTATTAGTTGACTTTGTCACAACTCGGACAAACAGTAATGGAAACGGAGACAAAGAAATCAAAATAGGGTTATCGAATTTTGTAAGACGCTGAGATTCCTGACTGACTGATTTTTAACGCCTTACTTTTCAAAAAAATTGTAGCAGTTCAAGTTGCCACCCGTTATATGCACATAAATGTGAAGAAGAACGCACCATAATGAACAGAAATATGCAAGAAGAAAAAGTACGTGGAGAATAGTGGCAATTTAACAACTTTGAAAGTTCATTAAGGGTGAATGCATCTACCCTATGGAGGACGATTTTGACCCATTCACCAATATTTCTCAACCAAATCGCAATTAAGATGAAAAAAAACGAGATTAATACGTCTGCTTTACGGAAGTCAATTTTGACTCAAATCGTATTCTCTAGGTTAGACAATGTAAATCACTCAAACTAATAATCAGTAACGCCATGAGTCTAATTAGTGGTATTTTTCTGACTCGTCTACTCTTTTTTTAATCTGACCCACTCCTGTCTTTATTTTTGTTTTTTTAAATAAGGCTGGGAAAACACCTTTCAACCGTGGTCTGCTTCTTAATGTTGGAGTTTTACATGCGTTAGATATTGATCCGAGCATAAATTGTTTCATCTTTCATGATGTTGATCTTTTGCCTGAAAAAAGCGAAAATCTTTACATCTGTGATACAGAATTACGACACTTATCCCCTGCTATTGATGACTTCCGATATCATCCACCATTCATAAACTATGCAGGTGGAGTCGCTGCAATGACGAAAAAGAACATACTAAAGGTGAGAAAAAAAGAATTTCTGAATTGTAATAGACACTTTTGTATTACACACTATTTAAACACAACCTTTATAAAATATGACTAGACAAAGTGTCTAAAAGCGAAGTTCTCTTAGAGACTTATATAACTAGTCTGTTCATAAAATGTTGTGTAATAAATAAGAAGAAGATTACTGCATCTACTGAATTATTTCTATTCTGTAAAGGCAGACTGCATAGCTGACTGAGGTTATCCTCTTGAGATTAGATCTAGGGTAATAGTTCGCGTAACATTCCGCTTTAATTTGTTCTTATTTCAATGTCTTAATTTCGCGAATTAATTTGTTTTATCCTCCTAAACTGAAAGAAAATCAAAGGAAATCAGTCACTCGGAAGTTAAAAAGTGTGACTTAATGTGCACTGAATACCATGATTTATATGTGAATGTTGCTCACTGGCAGGGTAACTTTGAAGGACTTGTGTAAAATTCATGATAAGTTTATTCGGTTGTTTGTAACTCTGATTATGAGAGATAGAAGTCGTTTTTCTGGACGTCATCTGTAAGCAAATAATCATAGTGTGTCACTGTGGATTGTTGTGTTATGGAATAACGCTCTATCAAAGTGCGCAAATTTTGCCCTCAAGTTAATTTTTATTTGCATTAGAAGTGTAAACAAACAGATTTTCCTTTTGGTAATAGAAGACATCAGCAAGTGATGTGATGATAATATAGTTGTACTAGCTTATATAGTCCTTAAGGTGCTGAGACCATATTACACTGTTTGTGTAAAACTTACTACTATAGTATTATATTATTATTATTGTTCCCTTGGGTTCCTAGTGGAACATAGGGCTTCAACTGCACGTCTCCACTTGCTTCTGTCTTCTGCTGTTCTTTTCACTTGCGTCCATGTTATTCCATACTGTTTCATCTCCTCCTCACACGATCTCCTCCATGTCACCCTTGGACGTCCCACTCGCCGCTTCCCTTTCGGGTTCCACTCGAGCTATGGCCTGACGCGCGATGTCACTCAACGGCCTCCTCAGCGAGTGTCCAATCCATCTCCACTTCCTCCTGCATATTTGTTGGGCGATTGGTTCCTGTTTCGTTTGTTCCCATAGCTTCTTGTTTGTGATTCTTTCTGGCCATCTAATCTTCAGTATGGAGCGAAGACAGTTGTTGATAAAGGTCTGCAACCTGTTGAAAATATTCTTGGTGACCCGCCAAGTTTCTGATCCGTAAAGCAAAATTGACTTGACGTTTGTATTGAAAATCCGAATTTTGTTGTTGATGCTGAGTTGAGTGACGAAGATTTCCAGATTGGTTTCAGGTTGATGAATGTGTTTCTCGCTTTCCCGATTCTCGATTTGACATCCTCGTCCGTTCCTCCTGTGGTTGAGACAATGCTCCCCAGATAAGTGAAAGAAGTAACCTCTTTCAAATCCCTCCCGTTGATGGTGATTGGCACTGGATGTTGCTGCTGTTGTTGGTTGGTTATTTTCATAACCTCCGTCTTGTCTATGTTCACCTGGAGTCCTGTCTTTGCTGCTTCTTCGACCAGTTTGTCGGTTTTTGCTTGTAAGTCTTCGATTTTGTGTGACATCAAACATAAATCATCCGCAAAATCCAGGTCTTCTAGGTTCTTCACGTCGGTCCAGGATATCCCTGTCTTCTCGTTTCCCACTGTCTGACGCATAATCCAGTCCACCACAATTAGGAATATCATTGGTGATAATAAGCACCCTTGTCTGACTCCTGTGTTTACTCCAAACGCTTCGCTGAGTTTTCCGTTGTGGATCACTTGACATGTGCCGTTGTCGTACAGTTGTTGAATAAGGTTGATGAATATTTGCGGTACGCCGTAGTACTCGAGTAGTTTCCAAATTACTTCGCGGTCAACGCTGTCGAAGGCCTTCTCAAAGTCTATGAAGTTGAGGTAGAGGTTTGATTGCCATTCCATGCTTTGTTCGATGATAATGCGTAGAGTTGCAATTTGGTCAGAACATGATTTGCCTTTCCTGAATCCAGCTTGTTCTGGTCGGAGTTCTGTATCCAGCGCGTCCTTGATTCTCTCCAGGATGATGCGACTCAGGATTTTACTTGGCGTCGACAGAAGCATGATTCCTCGCCAGTTCTTGCAGAGTCCCAGGTCGCCCTTCTTTGGTAGTTTCACCAGGTAACCTTTCCTTCAGTCAGTAGGCACCTTTCCCTCTTTCCAGATCTTTTGCAATAATGGAGTCAGCATATCTGCTGTCGTTTCTGGGTCCGCTTTCAGTGCTTCCGGGGGTATTCCATCTGGTCCAGCTGCTTTTCCAGCTTTCAGAAGCTTGATTGCATTCATGACTTCAGTTTTCGTTGGAGGATTGGTGTCAACTTGCAGTTGTGTACGTGCTGTTGTTGGTATTACTGGACGGGTTGTAGGTGGTGGTCGGTTCAAGAGTCCTTTGAAGTGGTCCGCCCATTGTTTAATCTGTCTTTCTTCTTTGGTAATTGGGTTCCCCTGGCTGTCTTTTATAGGTGTCACTTGTGTTGATCTCTTCCCGGATAGAGATTTGGTTATCTGATATAGTGTCCTCAGGTCCCTTTTGCCTGCTGCCTTCTCAGCTTCAGTAGCCAGGTTGTCGTAGAATTGTCTTTTGTCCTTCCTGGCACTCTTCTTCACTTCTTTGTCCAGTGCTGTGTAAGTTGAGTTCAGCGTCTCTTTCTCTTGTCCATCTTTGCATTGAATCATTTTCTCTTTCACCTTTCTCCTCTCCTCTATTAGTTTCCAAGTGTCTGTTGAGAGCCATTCCTTGTCTTGTTTCTTCTTTCTTCCTAAAACCGTTGAGCACGTTTCGTTGAAAATTACCTTCAGAGAGTTCCAATGGTCTTCCACGGATGATTCCTCAATGGTGCCACGTAGTGTTTCCTGCTTTGCTCTAACAGTTGCAGTGAAAATGTCCTGTGTGATTGTGTCCTTCAGTTTGTGAGTGTTGAACTTGCATTGTGGCCTATCCCCAGGTATCCTCGAGGCTTTCAGCTTCACCTTGAAAGTCCCTTGTACCAGATAGTGGTCTGAACCCACATCTGCTCCTCTCCTCGATCTTGTGTCCAGTAGGCTCCGTCTCCACTTCCTTGAGATTGAAATGAAGTCTATCTGGTTTTTGGTGTGTCCATCTGGTGAAATCCATGTTGCCTTGTGTATATCCCTGTGTTTGAACACACTGCCACCAATCACCAAATCATTGAAGGCGCAGAAGTCTGAGAAGAGTTCACCATTTTCGTTCATTTCACCGAGGGCCTCACGACCCATGGTGAGTTCTCTTCCTGTATTGTCTCCTCCCAACTACCTTAGTAGATGATGCTAAACAATACATGCCTTATCTCTCCTTCTGAATTAATACAGTTTAACTTACTTTTAAACTGATTGTCTTTTAAGGTAATTGTTTTTCTATTCTGTTCTATTCAACCGCTTATATATTTGCCACAGCAGTTCGCTGCGACCTCCTTTATGACTGTGAGTGAGACATAGCCATTGTAAGTGGATGAGATGAAAAGATTAGCTGTCTTTGATCATAGGTGCCTGCGTTCTATCTTCCGTGTGAACTGGTATAGTAGGGTAAGCAATACTGAGGTTAAGCGTCGACTGCTAGGTAAGGAGGGGAAATCAATTGCAGAGGCTGTGAAGCTACATCCAATGGGATGGTTAGGACATGTGTTACGCATGCCCAGTCATCGCCTTCGTCGACGGGCAATGTTAGCTAAGATAGGTTGGATGAAGTTGGAAAAGAACTGCTAGTGGTGGTAAAACCAAAACATGGCTTCATCGGCCAGTGAAATCCACAACAGTCAGTTTAAGCTAGCCACATAGGGAGGTGCAGACTGCTTGGCTATTTGGGGTCCTCTTGATGGTAAAAACCAATAAAGTCTGGAGACAATTGGTGATATTAGAGAGAAGAGAACAAAAAGTTCAGCTAATATATCTTTCCACAGATTTCATTCTCAAAAGCTGTACAATCGCATACATATAAATAAGTTTATATAGATACTATTGTTATTTGATTCCATGTAGTAACGAAGGTGGTTAAAGGTCGTGATAATTTTCAACCTGACTTGAAAGTTTGAAGGTCTGAATATAGATTACAAGGGCTCTAGAGACAAAATTACATAAGATTAGAAGTCAGTTACACTGTTTATGTAAAACAAGTTGCTTTTTATTGATATTTTGATGACTGGAAAAATAACTTGATATGGAAGTTCAAGGGTGTGAATACAGGTTACAAGGGGGTTGTAAACAAAATTATACAGGATTAGAAAATAGTTTTTCTTAACGAATATAGGTGTGTGTGGAATGGGAACAAACTGAAAGAATAATATGTTGAAATTGAAAATGAAAGAGAAGAAAAAAGGAGAGAAAAGTGAAGGGGATGAAAAAAGAGACCTAAAGAGAAAAATCGAACTAGTTCCATGGTAAATATGGAGGTTGAACCAGTTTCTTGTGAACACACACCTTCGGTTTTTCTATGCATATGTCGAGGACTTCTGCAGTACAAAGAAGTCGGAAACACACTGCCTTTGGTAGACTTTTATTTACTTTGTAAATGACTCCGAATGATGAATCAGTTGAGATGCTGTGACAGGTGTTGATGACGTGTTCACTTATAGCGCTCCTGATTGAACCAGTGCCTCCTCTTTGCAGCTAAGCTGGGTGATTTTCTCTAACACGTTTTCATAGGATCCACATAGAACGACCTATGTACCTAGCTCCACATGAGCAGGTGAATTGGTATATCCACATTGAAGTGGTCATATTCAGAAGTCCGTCCTTCACATTGCTTCGAAGCAGTGGGTGGCTGGAGAATGTCACTCTTAGAGTCTGTAGGAAAGGTCTTCTTCAGGGACCTGGAGATTCTCCTTTTAAGGGTATCTGCTGCTAGGTCGTCTCTGAATTCCAGATTCAAATATAATGTTTTCTTTGGCAGTGAAGTTCATTCTTTCCTTTTTGGCCTTGGTTTCATGTTCTCCACGAAACTCGTTGGCTATCCAATTTGAGCCAGGATGTTTTTGAGAAATAGAAGCTCTTCTTCTAAGCATTCATCACTACAAATTGTTCTGGGCCAGCGAGATGATGAGAGCTCTTTTCCGACTGATAGGTATCCAACTGCAGAAGTTTGTCAGTTGGCTATTCCATAATGGTTTTCTGTGGATAGCCGTTTCAGAGCTCTATCAACTCTTCTTGTCAATTTGACGTCCATAAATGGAATCTTTGATTAATTTTCAACTTACATTGTGAATTGGTGAGATAGCTGAAAATCATTCTCAGTGGCACAGATAGATTTACTCTTTGTGATTTGTCATATTCAATAAAACTCTATTGTTCTTCCATTTTACTATTCTTTTCCCTCACACTTCTGCTTATTATCTCTCTCTTTTGAATCTCCCTTCACTCTGTTCTGTTGATTTGTGTGCTACATGGAGGAAGAGTGGCAAGCTGCACTGGTGTCCATGTATGGAAATTTCAATGTTGAGACCAGTCAATCCGTCCGTCAGTCAGAATGAAAGTAGGCAGGCATTCAAAAAGTGTTTGCTGCAGTGTATCGATTTCAGAAAGAGAAAGGTGATCAATTGTATCTTGAGTCATTGAATCACATGATCTCTTGTACTCCACTCAGGTAGTCAATATCAATGTGACAAACGAAAGCTGCCTTAGCTAGTCTAATCAATAGGTTTCTTTTTCGTCATTTTTTACCTAAAATGATTCTCATTCATTTAATAAGACGTCATAATGTCATCACTGATTCTTTTTCTGTATTGGAAAACATATAGATAAATGGATTTCCAACACGTCATTGGGGTTGGGGCAGTGAAGATGATGAATTTTCAGCGCGTGGTTTAATCTATAATTTAAAGTTAACTAGACCCCCGGAATCTATTGGACGGTATAAAGCACCAAGACATCAAAAAGGATCTATATCTATTGGACATCAAAGTGCATTTTTACAATTTCGTAATTACTTACATGATGGTTTTACTCTTTTAACAGAGAAATTTTATCATGATTGGAAGTTAGAATCATTACGTCGTCAAACTAAAAAGTATACATTGAATAAATCAGAGAAGTTTAAAATTCCTGTCTTTTTGAATGAATGTACGCGCCAAAATATCCTGTCCCGTTTAAATATTAATATGAATTCAGTAGAAATTGTACATAACCTTAGTGCGATATCTTCATCTAATATTGAATTACTCAATCAATTTGCTCGTGATGATCTATTTATTCACTTTATATTTGATCCAGTTGACTTTTATATTCAAAGTAAGTCATTGTTGAAACCGAAAGGTAATCATACAGTTGAATCATTATGGTGGTTTCTTCACTTTTATGGATGGATATAAGGTGTATATTTATTTATTTATTGATTCATTCATTCATCTCTGTCTTTTCGAAGAGTAAAAGATCAATTTTCTTTTGATACTTCTTGTACAGTAACTTCAATATTTATTTATTCACCTTCTTTTCTATTCTTTCTTTTTGTGTACTTTGTAATTATATTCTAATTTGATCGATTTTGTGTATTTATCTCCATACTAGCTAACACCCAGTGGTGGTGGTGGTGGTGGTATGTAGTAAGGGAATATACTCTTGGAGATTTAAGTAGACCTTTTGTCTTCAAGCAATGTATTCAATTGAAATCCTGTCTCTGTACACAATATGTTTATATAATTTGTAAAGGAATTACTTATTTTGGTTATTGTTCTTCTTGATAGTTATTAGTATTATTCCTTTAGGTTCCGAGTGGAACATAGGACTTCAAACTCGCTTCTTCATTTGTTTCCAGTTGGCCTTTCATCTCCGCCTCACACGATCTCCTCCAGTGTCACCCTCGGAAACTCACACCCAACTTGTCGTTTTACACATGGGTTCCGCTAGAGGACGTGACGTGAGATATCATTAAATGGTTTCCTCAGTGTGTGTGTCCTATCAATCTGCATTTTCGTTGGTATATATTTTTTGAGCAATGGATTCATGGTTGGTTCGTTGCTCTGGCAGAGTTCCTTATTACTAATTCTTTTTGACTGACCATCTGATCTCTTCAGTATGGAGCCAGCGAAGGTGGCAGCTGTTGATAAAAGTCGAGAGCTTGTTCAAAATGCTCTCTTCGTGAAACCAAGTCTCAAGTCGAGAGTAAGTGTCCTTTTCAATTGGCGCCATGTTTAATCTGATCATCTTACATTTTTTTCCTCACCATTCTTGGATAAAAGTCTCAGTGGGAATAGCATCAGTCACTAGGATACAGGTACACTTAGCTGACAAGTTCTATATAAAACGGAGGCCGCTTACTTGATTCCACTATTAACTATTATCAACCGAGTGATACTTATAGATTATTTTAAGAAAGCACACGTTAAATGATCACGCGTTGGTGATGCAGTTGTAGAACGTTCACCAACTACGCCTAACATGTTCCAGGATTAGATTTTGAGTCAATGCACTGCTAAGCCTCGGTTAGACGGTAGTAAGCCCAGTAGAGAGGGAGGGTTGGGTATGAGGCTAACAGCTCTCTACGCCATAAAAATAAAACCTCTGTTACTGAAACTTCAAATTATTTTATTCTATTTAAACAAAAAAACTTGGCACAATATAGCACCAGGAAAATGAGTGACACAATAATAATAAAACAGCATAGATTAAAATTAAAAATATGGGTAGAAAACGGATAAAGTACTTCATCTGGAAGGAAAACAGTCATATTTAACAAGTCCAAACAGCATTCGTCAATTATCATCGGGAAGGGAAGAAAGAAGGAAATTGCAGCACGTTGGACATTGATTGCGATTCTTGGCCGTATCCGATAACGTCTCATACCACCGATTCGAGCTATCTCTTGGACTCCAGCCAGATAGTCGTAACGCACCAACCGATGCTAATCTACCACAATCATCCTTCATCTCACGATGCCACATCATGGGCTGACCATCTCTCCGCTTTTCTCATCCCATCCCATGACCAGCGAACAGAGACTTGTATGGAAACCTCTCGGATGACATTTGCAGCACATGTCGCAGCCACCGAAGCCGGTGTTACCAGATGACAACACTCAACAAATGGTGGTCTCCACTGTGTTCAAACACATGCCACTGGACCTGAGAATTACTCACGCAATGATACCATCGAACGTAAGCAACCTTGCGGAGACAGCGATGATCGAACACACAGAGTCGCCGCACATCCTCAGCTTAGAGAGGATAGGTTTCACAGGCGTAGAGCAAGACAGCCCGCACAGAAGTATTGTATACTCGACCTTTGACAGCCAGGCTGACGTCACGACGGTGCCACCCTAGCTTTCATGATACGGTTAGAAATCTCATCTGTCACCCGTTGAAATTTCAAAGCTCAAGTCTGAAGCTGTATGCTCCGTTCGTAGCGCAAACGAATAAAGAAACTCATTAAACAGTGAATAGTAGATACATTAATACTAGGAATGATCAGTATTTAGAAGCGATTCTTTCTCTGTTACATATATTTATCCAAAGTGTAGATTTAATAACATTTTTTTTGAAAACAATAATTCGACTGAAAAGTATTCACTTATAAACAAAAGTAAATGAAAATAATATTAATAAAGTTTATTATAAACAAAAAAGGGTGTGTAAATTAATTGATTTTTATACCAGGCGACCTTTAATTCATATACGATAATTCACCTGATTAAAGGAAAGAGTTACAATCTAGTGAGGATTTTCTCATTGGGTGTAACTGTAAATGGTGAAAATACAATCATATTTGTTTCGATGATTGAAACTTCTATTATATTTATTTATTTATTTGTTTGTTTATTTTGCGTGATTGGCCATACTGTAGAAAACAAAGACTGGGTAAAGGAATGTTTATTTGCAATTTGGTATCCCTATATAGCCAAATTATATACGCCTTATATTCAACGCACCATTTGCACATAGATCTTCCGTGTTGTGCTACTTCTGGCTTCCTTTCATATTGTGTTTCCTTGTGTTGCTTTCACGTCTCCCATGTATCTCCACAACAATGTATCCATTTGCTACCTCTGACATCAGATGTATCTCCCTGTTATTTGATGTTTTTATGCCGATGAACATCTCTTCATAGACTACTGATAAATCTTATCAGTAGCATACGCCACAATACGAAGTCACGAATCGACAACAATCTTTGTGTCTTCATCAAGTCATGCTTAGAAGTGTTTCTTTAACACTAGTCTTAACGACTCATGGTGATAATTAGATCTAACCGAAACCTAAGCTATGGTGAGATTTGAATCAGAAGGCTACTAATTTTTGATATGCTGACTGAGATTCTCTTAGCTTAGCAGATATGAGATCTTAAGCGTTGTCGTTTTGAGTCCTTCAGTCTCCACACTAGTGTTTGTTATGTTATCCATCTTGTTGAGGGTGTTCGACTTGGATGATGACCAACTGTGCTACAGAAATATAAAAAGTGGCAGTATATATTTGCATACACACACACACATTTCGCATTAGATTACTTACTAAGAATGAGACAGCTTTTCAGTGGCTTCTGAGTACAATTCACACTAATGAATTTACCAGTTGGTTTTATTTTCATTCCTTTGCGTTTCGAGTGGTATGGTGGATTGGATCATGAAGAACACTTTAGGGTGAAAGAACAGAGGCATACATTGGTCCGACAACAGAAGACTTTAGAAGATATGGACTTCGCGGATGATTTACGTCTAAGGTAACACAAACACTAAGGTTCACAGACAATAATCAACACCTTGGCAGAAGAAGCAGCGAAAACTGGACTTCAAGTGAGCACAGAAGAACCACCAACAACAAACACCAGTCACTACAAACGGATTAATTTTGAATGGGATCACTTCTTTCACGTATCTAGGTACCATCGTTTCAACGACAAGCAATAACATGGATGAAGATATCAAAGCCGGAATCAAAAAAGGAAGACAAGCTTCATCACCCTAAAATTGGTCTAGAAATCTACTGTACTAAGCATGAGAAACAAAATTCGGATTTTTACACCAATATTAAATTAAGTTAGTCGATGCTTTTGGGTCAGAAACTTGCCGTGTCACGAAAAGCATTTCCAAAAGGTTGCAGACTTTTATCAACAGCTGACTCCACAGTCAAGATCAAATGGTCAAAAAGAAACTCCTTGAATGAACCAACTAGTAAACTATTGCTCAACAAATGTTTCGAAGAAAATGAAGATGGATTGGGCACACGCTAAGGAGACCGTTGAGTGATATCGCACGCCATACCCTATTGTGGAATCTGAATAGTAAACGACGAATTGGTCGTGAGTCCAAGGGTGACATGGAAGAGATCATGTGAAGCGGAAACGCTAGCTTATGGACAGTCGTACACCCAGTTGAAGAGGACTGCGGAGAACAGGACAAAGTGGAAACATGTTGATGAAGCCTTATGTTCCACTTGGAACTCAAGGGAATAATAAATAAATACATTACATCATTAAACATTGGATGCTAACCTTCTCAGTATAAGTCGACTTGTTAAGCCTAAAGGTAAGTATGCGGTCAATCGTTCATGTTATTTGGTACGCTGTCGTGTTAAGTTCGGTTGTTCTTGTACGCCCTCTGGCTAGCCAGGCAGATGTCAGTGGCCTATATTTCTGATTTCGAAATATGTTTGGTATTTCGGAGAATCAATTTTTGTTCTCATTTGACTTATGAACAGTTGTCTGGTATGCACAAGTTAAGTACACTGAGAACATAAATCAAATTCACAGTTTGCAAGATAATTCAGAGTTTCGCAAATTAATTAGCAATTCACTTAGTTCGACGTGATTGTTACATCATACTTTCCATTGGGAACCGAGATTATTCATATCACAATATATGATCTACTTGGTACCATAAATGGTAATCAAGAAACCAAACGTAAATGCATGGAACTACATAACACAGATCATTTGAGATGAGAACTTGTATATCAGTCATATCAACTAGTGGTACTTGCTAGCAAGATTGAGGTGATCTAAAATCTGGACGATCGTTTCGCACATTTAGAACCGATCTCATTAGCTGTATACCCAGTTTAACCAAGCTCTGAGAGCTGAATCACCTGAAGTCACCTGATTTCTGACCAGCATAAATCAAATTCACAATTTGCCTGTTGTTTGTCTAAAAAGGCCAAAACTGTACTAATTGACAGGGTGGGTGATTGAGTTAGTGTTGTTATTGTTATTATTTGTGTTTGTGGTGTATTGATAGATACATAAGTATCAGTTTACTAAGTACACACAGTTGAAGTCTAATCGACCAATATATAACAGATAAACTACAAATAAGATGAATAGTAATAATAATAATTAATCTTTTGTTGGCTTTCAATCGACCAATCAGGACACTGAGTAGTGAGATAACAATAGCCAAGTTGTTTATGTTATATTTTAGTAACTTTCTGTAAACTAAATAATTGCAATGTTTATTGTCTCTTTAAAAGAAAAAATAATTTAATCAATAAACAATGTATGTGGTATTTGTTTTTATTGAAGCTTTTGTTTATTCCTGAAGGATTACTCTTTATTTGAACTTAACTTACACATATGTATGCGTTAAGAGTTTAATCAAGCAGTTATTCGTAAGAAAGAATAAGTTCCATAATAACATGTCACGGCGGTAGC